TAATATCTCTGAAACACTCGGGTTAGACAGGAACATACTAGCAGTAGTTTCATTTTACTTTTACAAGCTTCTTAAAACAATTATTGAGCTAGCTAACATGCTTATTTCTAAATTCAATTTCTTGTTCTAGCTTTCTGTTATGTTTCGTAAAAAAGTAGTCTTGATTATCCCGACCTGTCAATCAGACGTAGAATGGTCGATAGACTGGTTAAGCGAGACTAATTTCAAAACAAGGGCACGTAACCTATCTTTTACTCAAAAGTGTCTGGATGTTATGGACGACACTTGGAACCAGTTTTCAGTCTATTATATATAGATGATTAATGGTCGTAGCTTATTAAGTACAACATGATCGTTTATTTAGTGACTATAATTGTGTGAAACTGATTTGAGGCTTGGCATATGTATAAATATTGTGGCGTAATTGTCGAGATATTTGGAGATATTTATTTATGGTGGGCCACCCTATTAATGGCTTCAATTGTACCGGAAGTGACATATGTTTAGGGTAACGTGGCACCGGTGAAACCCGTCATTACTGCATCGCAATTCTAGTTATTATTATTATCATATTATTATTAATGTGAATATCAAATCAACAAGGCCTAACTAAAGGCCTTACGTTTGTCGGTAATTTCAATTTGTTTGACTGGCCAATAAGTAAAGAGTCCCTATAATTAGGTGTTAAATATATTTCCCAAAATAAAACAAAGAATTAAAATTGTAATTAGTATGACAATTAGTATGCTAAATTATTTAATAAAATGTTTTGCGACAATTGGGTTACGTATCGTCTACATGACTGACCTAATTCTTATATATCGGTTCCAGCATCTCAACCTCAAACGAAAAATCCAGAATCTGAGCCATTTTTATACGCCCACATTGAAATGTGGTCGTATATTGTTGTCGCCCTCGTCCGGCCGTCCGGCGTCCACAATTGCTTGTGGAGGCTCTATAGGCTAAAGTTAATATCCGATTGACTTTAGATTTATACAATGTTTAAGGTCATTAGACGAAGAAGCCTATTCATTTTCAGCAATTTTCGATAATTACTGCCAGAGTTATGGCCTTTGATCACTTCAAAAAATCTTGTGGACGCTCTAGAGGTCAAAGTTAATATCCGATTGACTTTAAATTTATACACAGTGTTTAAGGTCATGAGACGAAGAAGCCTATTCTTTTCTAAAATAAAATGAGTGTCTTGAATTTTTGTGTGGATTTGATAGCGGTTATACTTTACTAATATTCTCTGACATCGGGGACTTGTGTCGCGTTCATTTCATTTTTGCGGTAAGTACGAGCTTCTTATGTCTGATTTGAAAGCGCTTTCGACTCCCGTTGCAAGTTCTATTTGTCACTTTTGTGACTTTCGCAGTGTACCCCCTCCCACCCATATTATTTTAATACGTCATAATACATTATTATCATATACCGGTGACAGTCAAGATTTGCTAAATACTTTTCGCCAAGTAACACAGCGTAAGAATATATAGTCCCCGTGTCGAACCCAACATTTCATGTTTTCGCGCGTTTCTGACCACGTGAAGTACGGTTAACCGCATTGCGGAGTGATTTACATGTATGGCACTGTGATTTATGAATGGTTGATTTAGATTAACTGAAGCTACGAGTAATGAAGTTATGTGTAAAATCTCATCGAATATAATTTAAAGTTTGGATTTGAAAGCAGCCAATAAGATGAAATGATACGTTTAAAAAATTGTAAGTTATTCATTGTTTGCATACACGTACATTGTGGCACCACGTTATACATTACATGTATAGTGTGTTAGAAATACGACCGTAGCTGCCTCGCCAACGGTTAACATATCTTGTATTCAACTTAAATAAATTACATTTTTCGTCAACATGCTTACATCGGGATGATATCGGCACTCAAGCGGTTCACTGTGTTTCACCGCGAAACACCCTATTTCGCGGTGATTTGGCTAGCTGCCGTTTCGCTAGCGATTCTCCAAGATTCCACCGTGAAATAGAGTGTTTTTCCGCGGTGTTCGGCGATTATAGTCCTAAACTCCAGCACTGTAGCGTATCATCCGATTGACTTCAGATTGATACAGAGTTTAAGGTCTTGAGACGAACAAGTATATTGATTTTCAATGAATCTTTATGACTTGAACAGCTAAATCCATGATGTTAAGTTTCGAATACTAAACGTTAGTCTGGGCCCGAACTTTATAAAAACCAAACAAATTCTAATTGTTTTCTGATAATTACTTAATGAGTTGTTACTCTTAATCAGATTTTAATGTATTATTATAAATGTTTCATTACCGAAAAAAGTAAAAATATGCGACAACTCTTTTTGAGTGCCCGGACGATATAGCTGCCTGGCAACCTATCTTTTATATTATTCTTATCTAGCGTTGATTCTTTTGTTGTTCCAGCTTATTTTGGGTACAATTCCTTTTTAAGTGGATAGAAATCGTATATAGTATCCGTATTTTAAGTTATCTTCCCTCACAGCTGCGGAATGTAATAATGGCTCTCCGAGACCCATGTGGATATTTTCTGGTTTCAATTCCATTCGGGAGCCACGATGGCTAGGTGGGTAAGGCGCTGGCTCACTAGCCTGGAGGTCGGGTATTCGATCCCTGCATTGGCCAAGAAAGTTCATCCCAATTATCCGACGTGGTCTCCCCTTGTCAGTGAAGCAGGATGGAGGGCCTGACAAGGACAGCTGTCTAGTCCTTCGGATGAAACAAAAAACCGAGGTCCCGTGTAAACATTGGAATGCACGTAAAAGATATCTTGGCAGTTGGAATTCGATATAAGAGTAGGCGATAGTGCCTCTGCCCGGGCAAAATTTCCCTCATAGCACACTGTATGGCGTATGCCCGTCTTCATTAGCCCAGTATAGGAGCAGAACAGTAGGACGTTAAACCCCATTTCATTGCAATTCCATTCGTGTGCGGAGTAAATGCTTTAAATTAGGCATGAATAATTCACTGAACAGCAAATTTTTTATTCCAGAACACTGAAATACTCGTCAATGTTACAGAATATTTTTATATTGTTGAAAAACATTTGGTGTTAAATGTAAAGACGTGTTGTAGCTGGGAGAAAATTTCCTTTTGCTGTGAATAGCGCGGGATTATGAGGCACGTGATGTCAACACAGTCGCCCTTGTAAAATACGTGGAAATAAATAGAATTAAATATTTTTAGGCAAATTCTTTATTCATATAACATAACGCTTACTTCATAAATGAACATTCAGTTGCATTTCGACGTAATTTACCGCGAATATGGGTCTTGGGAACTTGAAATACAGATTTTCTTCGCCGTGTCTTATGACGATATAACCCGAAAACTAAGAGATTTATTCGTCCACAAAAAAATGTCACGTTGTATACCGTTTTCAAGTGCTCTGTGGCAGCACTTAATTTGCTCCGATTTTATTGATTTTAATAGCATCGGAACAGCAATAAAACGAACTTTCGATCGGTCGGTGTGGAATCTTGACAAATTGCCTTATAAAAAGTGAGCGTGAATTGTTTTTTCAACTTAAAAAATATACATTGTATTTTTAAATGCCAACATTCCACACCCGACCGATTGAAAGGTAGTTTAATTATCTTTCTAATGGTATCAAAATGAAAAAAAATATATTAATAATAACTGCTGCCGAGCACTTGAAATGGGGTATCCCCGTTTCAAAAGGTGACAAATTTTTTTATCGTAACGTCAAAACACGCAAAATTGACGTTTTCAACTTATGTTTATCTATATATTTGTGACTGTCGTTTGTCTCTGTCTGTTCGGGGTTGGCGGCTACACTAGGTCTGCCCTGAGTCTGAAATTTGGGGTATAGGGTTAGCTCGGACCGGGGAGTAACATAGGCCAGGTGGCGTTAGTCGACCACTTCCGGTTTCGGAGTTATGACTCCCGAGCGAAGCCGGTCTGTTCGGGGTTGGCGGCTACACTAGGTCTGCCCGGAGTCTGAAATTTGGGGTATAGGGGTAGCTCGGACCGGGAAGTAGCATAGGCCAGGTGGCGTTAGTCTACCACTTCCGGTTTCAGAGTTATGACCCCCGAGAGAAGTCTGTCTATTCGGGGTTGGCGGCTACATCTGCCCCGAGTCTGAAATTTGGGGTATAGGGGTAGCTCGGACCGGGGAGTAACATAGGCCAGGTGGCGTTAGTCTACCACTTCCGGTTTCGGTGTTATGACCCCCGAGCGAAGTCTGTCTGTTCGGAGTTGGCGGCTACACTAGGTCTGCCCCAAGGCTGAAATTTAGGGTATAGAGGTAGCTCGGACCGGGGAGTAGTATAGGCCAGGTGGCGTTAGTCTACCACTTCCGGTTTCGGCGTTATGACCCCCGAGCGAAGCCGGTCTGTTCGGGGTTGGCGGCTACACTAGGTTTGCCCCGAGTCTGAAATTTGGGGTATGGGGTAGCTCGAACTGGGGAGTAACATAGGCCAGATGGCGTTAATCTACCACTTCCGGTTTAGGAGTTATGACCCCCGAGCGAAGCCAGGTATCCTGCTAGTGAAATTAATATGACCAGGTTCATAAAAAATATATCAAACAAAACAATAAGAAATTGGCTTTCCAAATATGTACAAGACAACCCCGGTGCAGGTTCGCCCTGTCAGTGGTACGGGATGGGAGTGGGCTGGAAGGACAATTCCCAGTCATTCGGATGGGAGGGAAAACAATAGTTTAAACAATATTTGATTCATCAAACTGGATCGGATTGAACAACAGGTAAGGGGCTACATGGCTAAAGGAAAAAATTAACATGGAAAAAGTTGCCATGACAAACCAAAGATACAATTTGACCCTAACAAAAATTTTAAAAATGTTTGAATGCTGCCTGATCTGATTAAGGTATGGGTTGTTATATGAATACCATAACAGCTTTGAGATGTTTCTTTGTTGGAGAAACCCTAGGTATATTCCTTAGTGAAAAGCATTGTGAACAAATTAATTTTAGATCAGATCTCAAAGATAATCATGTTTTGATATTTACAGAACCTTCAGTAAGGTCTGAATTGATGGAACAAGTTCCCCATGTGACAGCTTATTGTAGAGAAAGTAGTCCACGTTTCCAATCAGCTGTTCCTACATTTATTCTTCCTATGGTGGTGAAATATCTCAATGATAGCAATAATCAGGTAACTTACTACTATAATTACTACACAGGACACAATGCTACAGTCACAGAATACAATATCTGATTGTCTTTAAATTTCTACACAGTGTTTAAGATCACGTGACAAAGAAGCCTATTGATTGTCAACAATTTCCAATAATTAATGCCAGAGTTATGACCCTTGATCACTTTGAAAAATCTTGTGGATGCTCTAGAGGCTTAAAGGACAATATTGGTGCCAGTCATTATCACATATGTAATAGAGCTGGTTAAATACATTACAAATATAATTTTAACACAGAGATACGATAGCTGAGTAATACCTGTAGGTTTCCTGAATCAGAAGTGATGAACGTCAAAGGAAAACACGAGTCATTCCTCAATATAACTGACTGATGTGATGAGTGATAACAATACACGGCTGAATTTCTGCTCACCAATAATTCCTTCGAAGACCAAAAATTGTTATATGGGACTGTAAGAGGATACCTGACAATTCAATAAAGTATTTGAATGTCATTAGATAAGAGAACACGAGAAAAATAGAAATAGTCCGTACATTCCCTTGTTTATATTCATTCTATACCAGGGGTTCCACTTCAAAATTTTTCCAACCGATCATTTTTCTCAAGTAGAAAGTGGTGCTATTTTTTGCACATAATAAGAAGTAAAAAACAACATGGTATTGTAATGTTGATTGGCTTTAATTGGGTCAAGGACAGGGGAGGGGGAAAAGTAGTTCCGAATGATTAGCTCACGTAAAAAATTCAAAGTCATAAAAATGTATAATTAACATAATTCAGAAAACTTATCAATACATTAACTCGTATTGATATTTTGTGAGCTCAAATAATATTGTGCTAGTATTTTTACAACTAGAACATGTCAAGATGTTTGCCCATATTTCAAAATGGCGGCCAGCGAAAAAGTTCATTCTTAAGTAAAGTGACTTCTATCAATTGTTATATAAAAGACAAAAATGGATTAAAAAGACACCTGGCAATACATCTTTTTTGTGGGAGTATCATATCTTAACCACCAAAATATTTGTGACCACTTAGTAGAGAATTTACGGCTGACTTTGTTTTTCGTGGGGATCATGTGGCTAAGTGGGTAAGACGCTAGCTCGCTAGCCTGGAGGTAGGGTGTTCGATCCCTGCATTGGCCGAGAAAGTTCATCCAGATTTTCCGGCGTGGTTCTCCCTTGTCAGTGATGCAGGACGGAGGGGCTGACAAGGAAAGCTGTCTAGTCGTTCGGATGGGACGAAAAACTGAGGTCCCGTGTACACATTGGCGTGCACGTAAAAGATCCCTTGGCAGTTGGAATTTGATATAAGAGTAGGCCGTAGTGCCGCTGTCCGGGCAAAATTTCCCTCATAGCACACTGTATGGTGTATGCCCGTCTTCATTAGCCCAGTTTAGGACCAGAACAGTAGGACGTTAAACCCCATTTCATTTGTTTTTCGCAGCGTTGACATGACTAACTCTTGTAATCAATTGAAGACATCAAAGAAAAGTTTTTAATTTGTTTGATGTTGATACAGTAAATATGGCCGCACGAGCGATGAAAGTCGGCAAATATGCTGTAACAACAACTTGAGTTAAAGAATGATCATGTAGTATTACTACTTATAAAACAAAACACACACACCTAAATAAATTGATTAAATGTTAGGCTTTCAATCTGTTTGATGTTAATCCTCTGTTGATTGTGATTAGGGCAATATTCACAAGAATAATTAATTGGCAGTGGTTTCAATTCGTGGGCTACTGAACACTGTTCATTTTATTATACCCGACAGTTTACATCACGACACACACAGAGTTTCGTCGTGTCCGGGGATTTTATAATTTAGCACAAAATATACTATTTTTCCGGCGTGCAAAATGACCTACGGGTCTGATCCAGTTTCGGTTCCAACCGGCATATACGACCGACATGGAACCCATGTTCTATACCTTATAAAAACATGGTAATGCACAGACTTTTTCTGTTTTTATACGCCCATATGGAAATGTGGTCGTATATTGCCGTCGCCCCCGTCCGTCGGTCCGTCCGTCCGTCCATCGTCCACAATTTCTTGTGAACACTCTACAGACTACATTTATCAACCGATTGTTTTGAAATTGATATATGTTTGTATAAGTGACGTGAAGAAGCCTATTTAATTTCAATATTTTCTGTTAATTTCTTCTGGAGTTATGGCCCTTGTTTCACTTTGTTGCACCTAACGACAAAAGTTATCAACCGATCTGTATGAAATATATATGCATCATTTAAATTAGTGAAATGAAGAAGCCTATTGAATTTCAGCACTTTTCTAGAGTTATGGCCCTTGTTTCACTTTGTTGAAAGTTATCAACCGATCTGTATGAAATTTATATGCATCTTTTGAATTAGTAAAACAAAGAAGACTATTGAATTTCAGCAATTTCCGTTAATTACATCTAAAGTTATGGCTCTTGTTTCACTTTGTTGAATATTGTGAACGCTCTAATGACAAGTTATCATCCGATCTGTTTGAAATTGATATGCATCATTTAAATTAGTGAAATGAAGTAGCCTATTGAATTTCTGCAATTTCCGTTAATTACGCCGTGAGTTATGGCCCTTGTTTCACTTTGTTGTACCTTGTAAATGCTTTATCGACAAAAGTTATTATCCGATCTGTATGAAATTTATATGTATCATTTAAATTAGTAAAACGAACAAGCCTATTGAATTTCAGTTATCACCTAAATTAGTGAAATGAAGACGAACAAGCCTATTGAATGTCAGCAATTTCCATCAATTACGTCTAGAGTTATGGCCCTTGATTTACTTTGTTGAAGGAATTATTAGTGAGCAGAAATTCGGCCATGTATCTATTATCACTCGTCACTTCAGTCAGTTATATAGAGGGATGACTTGTGTTTTCGTAGTAATGCATATCTTGGTCACTTTCCCGAACATAGAATCCTACAAATTCTGATTCGGAATCATTTTCCATAGCGAAGAAATTAAGAATCCGCGCTGGAATATTACAATTCAACGAAGAGTGCCTGCCATTTCTGGTACGCTGTATATCACGTATATCTTTGTTTCAAATCTAGGAAAAAGCACTTTTCCCCGGAACATTTGTCATTACTGAGATTAATATTCACATGTAAATATCCTTTGATAAAATTCCTTCAAATTCTGAATCGGAATCACTTTCCATAGCGAAGAAATTATTGGATGAACGAGCATGAAAATATTAAAGGGACTATCCCGAATTCAAGAGAGTCTTAAAAATAAAAGTCAGTGTACGTATGAAATTTAAGCGCCAAAATATAGAGGAATGGTGTATTTACCTTCTCTCAAAATTCCAGCTCAAAATATTGAGCCGTGTGGACGTGAACATCAAAACTGCTTATCCGGACACGTAACCCTTTTAAGATTTCGGGGCAGTTTTTTCGTTGGGGGACCTGATAATCGATTCCCTTTCCTTGAGAGGTCTATATAGTGAATGACCCATGTGCTCTACTTGATAACGAAAGGTAAATTTCACCTACACATTATTTTTAAAAGATAAAAGTCTGGTTTTATCCAGACACCGCATATTAATACAGCTTGGGACACCGGTCTCCATTTCCATATGAAGACTGATGGATTTAAGTTGTTTGAAAACTTATCACAAATATTGAGTTAGTTGCTCAATAGCTAGAGTATTTTAAGGGATTTTAACACAAAATTAAGCAGTTTTATTCTCCAATAAATATCGGGATTAGCCCTTTAAACTTGCGTACAAAATGGCGCCCTATGACACAAATTTTCTCACGAGTTCACAACCTTATAACCAAACCATTGATGTGACGTATAGGTTTTATGTTTTCAATCCTGAGTTTAAACTATACGCTTATTGGATAACTACTTTCGGAAAGCCAATCGTCTCTTTATACGCCCACATTTTCATGTGGACGTAATATGGTGTCGCCCCTGTTTGTCCATCAGTGCACAATTTTTTTGGGGACACTCGACAGGTCACAATTTTTATCCAACTTCAACGAAACTTGAAATATAGGTTTATTTCTCCAAGATCTAGGTTCCTTCGATATTGGTATGTATCGGATCGTAACTTCATGTATTAAAGCTCCCGATTGGACGAAAAATCACGTTTTGTGAACACTGTAGAGGTCACAATTATTATCTGATTTTGTTGAAACTTGAAATGTATGCTTATAACCCAAAGGTCTCGGTTCCTTTCGATATTCGCGCTTATTAGATTGTAATTTCTGAATTATGGCCCCTGATTGTAGCTTGTGGACCCTATAAAGGTCACAATTTTTATCCGATTTGCAATATATCACCAACACCCTAAGAATGGTAGAGTTCGAATTTTGTGGAAATCGGCCCAAAACCGACAGACAAAATGGCCGCCCCTCGTACTCAAATAGCATAAAATATGGTATGTATATCAAAGTTGTGGAACCTCTAAAGGTCACAATTTTCTTCTTATTTTGATAAAACTTGAAATGTAAGTTTAAAACCCAAAGATCTCAGTTCCTTTCGATATTTGCGCATATCGGACCGTTTCTGAATTATGGGCCTTTTTTGTAAGAAAAATCACGTCGCCCCTGTCAGTCAGTCCGTCCGTCTACAGGTCACAATTTTTATCCGATTTCAATGAAACTTGAAATATAGGTTTATCACCCTAAGATCTCGGTTCCTTTCGATATTGGCATGTATCGGACTGTAACTTCATGGATTATGGCCCCTGATTGTACGAAAAATCGCGTTTTTAGCTTGGGAACACTGTAGAGGTCACAACTTTTATCCAATTTGGTTTAAACTTGAAATATATGCTTATAACCCAAAGATCTCGGTTCCTTTCGATATTCGCGTATATCGGAATGTAAGTTCCTGAATTGTGGCCCCTGATTGTACAAAATATCGCTTTTTTTTAGCTTGTGGGCCCTATAGAGGTCACAATTTTTATCTGATTTATAAAACCATATTATTAGATCACCGTTACACCCTAAGGACGGCTGAGTTCGAATTTC